TATATATATTGTTAATTATATATATACAAGCAACAGCAAAACTAAAACCAAGATAATTATACTCTGAACTCAAAGTGTCAGAGCTGGGTTCGCGATTTCATCATCATCCGGAATACGGACCCATTTTAAAGACAATAAGGCAGTAAGTGAACTGATTATTCGGGTTTAAAGGTCGGTACAACTTTCGCAAGAGAAGTTGCCAGTCACACACCCAAAATGGAAGATGGAGGAACTTGTGAAGAAGCTCGCCACTTATGCTAATGAAACATTAGGAAACGCCTCTAACCAAAGACGATTTTTAGACCCGAATCAAGACAGCACCGATAGGAAGTTACGTTTCTTAGCATACTCATAAATTAAAACTAAGTTGGAATTAAAATTTAATTTGTATTATGTTTTAATTTACGGTCAGGATAATAACAAAATTTAGAAAAGACATGATATGTATTATATAAAGAGCAACAGGCAGTTAAAGAGCTGGAGTTGCAACATAGAGAAATAAATTTTAGGAAGGGACTCAGACAGGGATGCACACTGTCACTGCTAGTCACCGCTACTTTTTAATATGTACATCGAAGACGCGATCAACATCATTAGACAGTACAACTGTAAGGATAGATATACAGGAGTAAAAGATTAGTACCCTTAGATTTGCAGATGATATAGCAGTATTAGCATCTAGCAAAGAGGAGTTAGAGATAGCTTTAGGTAAATAAAGTGAAAGCGGCACTGACAGATAAGCACTGCATGAAAATAAATAAAACTAAAACAATACCGGTATGTAAGGAAAGAAAAAGTAGGGAGAGAGAATATAAAGATAGGATACGAAAAATTAGAAGAACTCGCCGATTTTAGGTATCTAGGAAATCAGATAAGTCAGGACAGAAGGAGTAGTAGGGATATAAAGCAGAGAATAGTGCAGAGTCGAGTCGTTTTCAATAAAAAGAAATTCCTTGCTTGAGAACGGTTAATTTATAAATTCAAAAAAGATTATTAAAGGTGTATATTTGGAGCGCGGCGTTGTACAGGTGCGAATCATGCACGGTGGGCGCGGCAGAAAAGAAAAGGTAAGAAGCGTTCGAAATGCGGTGTTACAGGCGAATGATAAGGATATCGTGGATAGAGAAGGTTAGAAATGAAGAAGTATTAGGAACACCTTCTCAGGCATGAAAGTCTACTCAGAGACATATTAAAAGCAGAAACAGGAGNAAAATAGGCGAGATAGGTTGGTAGGACACCTTCTTAGGCATGAAGGTCTACTCAGAGACATATTAAAAGCAGAAACAGGAGTTAAGAGGAGTAGAGGTAGACCAAGATTAGATCACTGTTCACAAATAGTTAAGGATGTGGGATTTTCTAGTTTTAGGGAAATGCAAAGATTAGTCTTAGGACTGACGACCTTATGATAATGATGCTTGAAGTGTCGTCAAGTTCCTTTAATGCCCGTGGTCTCGGCTTCTATAGGCAGAAATTTATGTACTTACTTTATAAACTACACTACATGAATGAATGTTATTTGAAAGTTCTATTATGCTTCAATAAATATACCGGCAGATAAAATTTTCTTAACACTTAGGCATACTTAATACAATAATGGTTAAAGTAATAAAAATGATAAAAGAGATGTAAGTGTCCTAATATATTATATTTGTTGGCATATTATTTTTTTTTCTCCAGCCTAACGTAACAATTGGAAAATCCCAATTGGGTGCCAATTAAGGCTTTTATTGGTAACTTCTCAAATATAATTCTCACGAGTATTGTTCGCAGGTTTTTTTTTTTTAATTTACTTTGTTCTCAACTAATGTTTGGTTTATAGTTTAGCTACAGCTTTGTGTATTTAAAATTGTTTATTTTAAAGAATATAAAATGACTTACCTGCGGTTTCCTCTCGTAGATCCACAGCTGGCAGAAACGCTGAAATAAAATACTTTCCCGGTTGTGGATTTGCTAATTTAATATTGACGATTGAAGTTTCCGACGAGATGTTTATGAAATACGTTTTAGGTCTGTTGAAATTAAAAAATCCATCGGGAAACTGCGCACCGTCAGGATTTATAACTGCCGGCGAATCGGGCTTTATTACGACTTGTACAATTTCTCTGGCACAATCTGAAATGTTACCATTTATATTGTTTGTGAATGCACACACATTCGTAATATGTTCATTCTAAATCAAGCGACACTCTTTTGAAATTTGTCAAACTTCTATTAGCTATTAACGGCGAGAAACTATTTCTAATTGTTAACAAGAATTAATAGTTGCTACGACCCATAAAGAATTAAAATAGGCCCTCGTGACAACCTTGTATTCATTATTGTACTTCCATCAACGTCGGTTCAGTCGTTTGACGATTAGCTCATACAGATAGACGAACCGTCAGTAAACTATTTAAGGGTTCTTTGTGACCCAAAAGCATTCAAATAACCATATGAGCTTAGGAGAGGGTAGTGATTGAAGTGAAACTCCTTTGGGCTCGATGAGAGTAAAATCTCAAGGCCATCAAACGCAACGTTTCGTCACACGGAGTAATGGGCTATGAGAATAGAAAGGTGCGCATGCGCATATCGGTATTACAGTCAGCTGTTGGTGACTGGCATCTCATACATTATAGTATGATGTATATTCACCCTACTATTGGGATCCGTCAAATGGGAGGAGCCTAAAAACATGGGGCCGATTAGGGAAAATTTATCGTAGCTCCTATAGTGTACCGTGCAATTTCCAAGTTTTTAAATTACGATAAAATGATAAGTATTGACACAATATGTGATTGGGCTGACACAAAGCCTCAGAAAGGAAATTTCGTTGAAGGTGAGCGTGTTTTTAATGCCAATCACATTATAAAATTCGGAAATAACAAATCCGGAAGCTAGCCTTCAAATTCCGTCAAGTTTAC